ACACAAAAAAAAAAAAAACAAAAAACCAAAAAAACAAAAAACCCCAAAACACAGAAGAAAAAAAAAAAAGTAGAGGATGTTTACAGAGGTCGTGAACAAACAAACAAAAAGCACTGTGTGTGCTCCCGTTGGATCAAACCTATTCCAGCTACTTAGGAGCCTTGCTTCTTCATTTAACAAAACAATGGCATATGTCACATAGAAAGTCAGAATAGTTGTTTGTAATACTTTGAATACCATGGAAACACTTCTGTGATGCTCTTAAAAAGATACACTTGATATTTCATATTAGTATTAAAGATCATAGACTGAGTTCAAAACTATAGTCAAGAAAGGCTGTGATCGATCTCTGTGTATGTGCCCCTAGAGAACAGCTAGCAAATCTAAATTCTTGTTGATGTTAATACAAAAGCATCTGATTTTTTTAATTGTCTGATTCTTATTGCTTTTCACTTCAGCTATACTAAAATAGCTAACCTAGCCCTGAAAAACAGACTGAAGTGTAATTATTATGTTCCACTTGCAAATTAACAGTCAAACCTTCAAAGTTTTTCTGCTTTTAAAACTTTCTATGCTTTATTAATTCATTAATTCTGTTTGTGGACTTGAAAATGTATTGTATATTGATAAGCTATCTTTTATTGTCTGAGTTCATCTCTGGAAATGTGTATATCCATCACTGCGGAGAAACAAATTGTGAAAAATGTAGCAGAGTACACGAGTCTTCAGTATGACACTGCACAGTTCTGTTTTCTTCATAATCATGTTTTCAGCTTGTGAAGAACACAAAGTCCTAATGTAAACAATACTTAGTAAAATCAATCTAGAGGAATTTATCCTTCTCTTTATCATTTAATTCTAGTTCAAACTGTGTTTCTTATTCTGACAGTTATGTTGGGCTCTTGTAATAGTACTTAAAATTTTCTGAGGTTAAGAAGAAAATAAGGATAGTTAGGCATATTAAGCTTAAAAACTTATTTCATACTTTTTAAGTTTAATATTAAGAAACATGAAAATTACTGACAATATAAATATAGAAATATATATTAGATATTTGTAAAAGAAAGGTATGTGAGATGAGTGGATTTGGGTTCTTGGGCTGATTTGTGAAATTGGAAGCGAGATGAGCATGTTGAGAATGATTGATTGCTTCCAGCATCTGGTAGAATAAAAGGGTTTGGAAGCCAAATCCATCATGAGGAATCTCGGTGCTGATGGTAAACTGAAGGAGCACATTGCAGGAAGAGTGGAAAGACACTTTTAGAATAATACAGCAACAGTGGGTTATCGTCTGGATATCTAGAAATGAAATAATTTGTTTACAGTTTTGTCCCTGTAAAACTGATGCGGCTTTGAGGGAAAGCCAAGCTCAGGGTTGTTCTGTGTTAGCTCTGTATCAGTCTCTTAAATAGGTGCTGAGAATGTTTGCCGACAAAGACAGGCTTTGCGCAAGGTCAGACGTGAATTTAGCACATACACAGTAAAATTTCTAATAGCTCTAGAGGTTTCAGCAACATAGGAATTCATAATTTAATCCAGATGTTAGTCTGATTATATGAATTGATGAAACAATGAATTGGTGCCTAACTTGTGCTTCTATTTCTTAAGGTCATCATATGGGACAAAAATACTCTCTTAATAGGATACTTCCATTGTAGCGTCCCAATTCAGCTGTACTTAAATTAATGGATATATTAGTTACCAAATCTAAGTCTGAGCAGCAGTATTAATATTGATGTACCAGACACCTCAGCATTCATGTATTTGGGTTAAAAAAAATCTGTCACAGATTTGTAGTATCACAAGTGACCTCTGTCCCCACTTCACTCTTTCTTCACAAGTCACTCTGGCTAGAAACTTCTTTATGAAGGTAAGACTTTCCTGGAACAGCAAAATTGGTTTTAAATAAAAACAAGTACTTCAAAGAATTAGAAAATTGCTTAGTTTGTCAATGTGAGACCAGTAGACAAACACTAACAGAACAGGCTATAAGACTAATTCTTCTTTTTTTTTTTTTTTTTTTTTTTTTTTTTTGAGATCTCTGCTGATTTGTTTGAAGGTTAGTAAAGAGAAATCATATGCACAAATAATTGAAAAAAATACAGAATCAATTTTTCAGTAAGCGCACATAAACAAAACCTTTAATTTTGGAAAAGAACCTAAAGAATTTATAAAGGGGAATAAAGAATACAGTAAGTCTGAAATTTTTATGGCATTGAAATGTGTTGAAACAACTTAATAGCATAGTTCCTCCCTTTAACAATGTCTCTTACATGACTAGATAGCTGCCTGACTTTTTTTGACAGTAGTAAGTTGTTTTTTGTTACAAGCAGAAGATAATATTCAGTAACCAAGTAGAAAAAAAGGCTGTTGTAATGCAATATGGTGAATATTGCTATCACTGTAAACATTTTTTCTCTTGATGTTTGTCAGGTGTATTGCTACTGGCATACTACTATACTTTGGCTTGTCTTGCACTGTGATATTCTTTGTGTGATAACCTCTTTGAGAATAAAAAAAAAGATAAAATGGAGAGAAAGAACTGTGTGTCGTACCTGTGGATAGATGAGTAAATATTGCTGCAGGCTTATTTATCATTCCTTTAATTTGTTTGTAGGTGGGTGGTATATTAGTCCAGTTTTCTGCTTGCTGTTTTAACAGTATGTTATTTTAAAATTGTCATTTACTGTACCTTATAATTAATTAGTATTCAGTACGACAATAAATGTATCTAATCATGAGCAAGAGGATTTAAAAGGTTTAATAGAAACTTGCAGTATTTTATTTCCTTAAACAATGTCAACTTAGACGTGTTTTGCATTAGAGTTATTGCACCTGAATTTGTGTTTTATATACGTGCAGCATAACTTACCCCTGTGACAGATAGTATTAACATAGCTTTAATCCTTACATTTCTTGATTTGAGTCATACACCACTAATCTGTTCTCTTGATCCGTTCCTTTGAGTAACCTGCTCTTTCCAGAACCAAAGTTTGCTGAAGCCATTGCCACTGCCCTAATAAAAAGATTTGACTTTTAAACAAGTGTTGTAACAGCTACAGCTATAGGTTGCAGAAAAACAAACTTTCATATGGTTTAAGTTCTATCTTTGTCTGCTTTAAATCCTAGATGTGGCCAGGCTTAAGCACAAGCATCTGAAATGGTTGTTTGGAGTCTTATGACTCAATCCGTTCCTGCTGCTGGTCCTTCCCCACTTTTTACTGAGTTTTAACTGCATGTGATTTCTAAGGAATCCTCTGCATCTTTTCTACCTGTCTAAATATGACATAATGTGTTCATGTTTCCGGATTGGGATTTCTGTATAGAAGTAATAACATTTTTTCCTGTGCTGTAGCTGATGTGAAGTCCCAGAATCAGGAATCCCTTCATTAAGATTGATTCAACTGACTCATGGATAAAGGGACATGAGTTTGACATAATGAATTTAAACATTTTGCCATTCTTCCATAATGCTCCGATCCAGCCCTCAATATCTTAACTTTTCTTTCATAACTTTCTGGAATATATTATTTAAACCAGCTAATTTGCATGAGATAACTAAAGGAATATTTAGGGCACAAAATGTGTAAGGCCTCTCTTTCCCCATAACTATATTCATACTATCTTAGAATGATTTATCAGAGAAAATTAGGGGAAAAAAAAAAAAAGAAATTTAAAAGGAATTATAATCTTGTAGGTTTAGTGGTAGGGAAATAAATAAAAAGTTAAGTACAAAGAGGTGGTATGAGAGTTTAAAGTGAGTATAGAGGCAAGGGCAATGTGGATTTAAGTTTTTACTTTTGAATTTCTTGCTTTTTTTTTTCCTTCCCATCATTATCTTGCATTTTACCTATTATGAAGAAAGAGTGATATATATACACACAACCACAGAATTAGAATTTAGTCCACAGAGCAGATAAAAAAAGTTTCTCACTATGTTTGCTGGAAATCTTGTCATACCTGTCAGTAAAACAGCATATCTGAGAACAGAATTTGGATTGGACTGTTAAATTTTATATTACTGTAATTTTAATTATCACATCTTTGTTCTTTCATGAAATGTTTGTTTCCTCATCTTGGAAAGCATTGTTTAGATACAGTGTAAAAAAGATGTTAAATACCACATCATAACAAGATATTTTCATGCTTGATTATGCTCTAGTTAAAAAACATGAAACAGATAGCTGTTATAACAGTACTGAATTGCTCCTCTTGAATTTCAGTGTGCCTAAAATGTGAAAAAGTGTTGCTTTCTAGCAACATTTCCCAACCTGTTACTGAAGTAGTGAATTGACATGTAGAGACATTAGAGAGACACACAGTAAGAGTGTGGAATTTAGGACTGCTCCATGTAAAAGTTAATATGAGAATATTCATTATAAACCTATCAGGAATGAGCTTTGCACTGGTGTGTTTGTAATGCTTAGCAGTAGTTAGCTCTTTCCTGTCCAAGACTGACAGAAGAACAAGAATGCCAGCCATGAGCTGGCCCAGCAGTTCAGTGTTCTAGATGATCATAGAATGGTTTGAGTTGGAAGGGACCTTTAAGGGCCATCTAGTCCAGCCCTCCTGCAATGAAGGGACATCTTCAACCACAGCAGGTTGCTCAGAGCCCCATCCAACCTGAACTTGAATGTTTCCAGGGCTGGGGCATCTAACACCTGTACAATGATGTACAGTGCATATTCAGTGTAGTTTACCAACGTTAGTTGGCAACATTCACAGCTGGAATAAGATTACAGTGTTAGGGAAATTATATTATATGACAGTAATTAACTGTAATAAATATACTCTTTCCACAGAATTTTAGTTAGTATCCCCTTCTGGTTTTTATTTAACAAGGCCAGATGCCTTTAAAGGTTTGGGTATTTCTAAATCATGATTTGGGTGTTTCTTTTATGTGTCTATAACTGTGTAATAAAAGAGTAACTGTTTTCTATGTATTTGTTTATTGTGTGCTTCTGTTTTGTAGTGATCAGTGTAATTATCTCTTTCTGTAGGGGTTAATCTCCAGGTTTGTAGTTCCAAAAATCCAACATGCTGTACCAAAAAGATGGAAGAAAGATATCGGTCTGCAGCAAAGCAAGATATACAGCAAGTGCTTCAAACATCAAGTGCTATGTTAAAATTTTTAATATCTCATAATGCAGCTGCTTTTCAAGGTAAGTCTTTTTTCTTCCAAACTTGTTCATACTTTTCTTGATTTTCATCTTCGATTAATTTATGCATGCAATAAAAGTTATCTAAATTTTTAGTTTCTCCCTGTGCTTTCAAAGGAGTACTAAATCGCGCAGGTGATTAGAAAGTGAATTGCTTTTGGAATTTCTGACTTTTAAAAAATGATATTTGAGAAAAAGTAAGAAATTGTTTTAGTAAGATGCTTTGATTTGAATTGTAAACCAGTAATTGGTGTTCCTCTTGAACTTCTTTAATTTGGATGATACTAAAATGCAAATTATTGCCTAGAGTTCTACAAAAGAGAGATTTTGTTATTCCAGTATTTACTCCCATCATGTTCTTTGTCTTATTCTAATAGAAATACTTGGATAGTTTGTTTTTGAGGTTAATTTTGCGGATCTAGTTTTGTAAGCTTTTGAGTTTCTAAAAAAATTTCTGAGTTTCTAAAAAAAAAAAATAATTATTGAAGGTTCAGTGAAAGTTGTTCCAATGCACAATAGGAGGTTATCTGATAAATTAATAGTTATTTGGGCTGGTGGTGGGATTGACTTTTAGCAATTACCCTGCATACTATTCAGTTTTCTCTTAATTAATAAGGCATGTTAGTGCAGAAATTGGCTAGAAGCTGAAAGGATGTGAGAAATAGTGGCACTATGAGGTTGTATATGATAGGGATATAGAGTTCACATGTGTTGAGGACAAAGCTCTACAGTCTTGTCATTTGTCTATTAATGTATACTTATGGCCTTAATGACCACTTGATTGGACAGGCTAAGGGGGTAACTTCATGTAGGCTTAGGAAGTTGTCCTGGTGACTCGTTTTTAACCTGTGAAGCTAAAATGATTAGGAGAACAAAAACAACTGCCTAGGGTCATAAAATGGGCAGTGAAGTTGACTCTGGGGTCCTAAAGCCTTCCCTTTTTGAAATTTAGGCAGTTTAAGGCTAAAAACTAGTTGCAGTTGCTTTCTAGCTTTCTATCATCTGTGAGTATTGCTATCTAGCCTGCCTAACCCAGCTGCCAATGGGTGTCATGATCAGATCATCAGTGGTAAAATGTGCAAAGAAACCTCTCCCTCCCTCTCTTTTGACTTCATTCTTCCTTCCAGCTTTATATTATTAGCTCTCTTTTCTGCACCATAATAATACAGTATGTTGTACTGCTTTTCTGACCTAGGGCTGTAGACACTGTAGAGCTCAGTAAGCAGCTGTACTTTCCTTAAGTTAGGGTTGTAGTCTCTGCTTTGGTGTTTTAACACCTCCCTCTTTCCCCCACCCTTAGAAAAAAACAAAACAAAATAAAACAAAACAATGCACAAAAACCCCCTTAGGTATCTGGATAACATACTTGTGCAATCTTGAAATTTCTCAGTCTTCCCAAGAATGGGATTTAGGTGGGATTTTAAAGTGTAATCAAGACTCAGAAACTACATTTCTGTTGCTTTTATGTTCTGAGGGGCTCAGTCAGTGGGGCATTTTCAGAGTGCATACACTGTACATCTCCCCCATATGTGAGTTCTCCCTGAAAGACAGGGATACACACATGTCTTTGAGGAGAAATGGTTGTGCTTCCCTCAGGTACAATCTGAACAGTTATTCAGGGTGTAGTTTCCAGGCCCTTTTCAGCTTGTAAAGATTCAGATATCATCTGTCAGTCCAGGAGGTTGCCCTGAACACCAGTTCAGAGGCTAATGTGGGACATAAGCAGTTTTCACTTTCCCAGTAATGCTGTTTTACAATGTCAAAAGGAATTCAATAAACACTGACTCAAAGGAGCTGCTTCTGTAGCCTCATAATGATACATCCTCCATATAGAGGGATGGTTTCAGGACTGATTGAGAATTACAGTTTTTCATTTTTTTAGTGAAACATGTGAGCAGTTCTTGTTATAGGAACGCAAGCCATCCTTCCCAAATATGTAGCCTAACACTAATTATTTCTCCCACTGACTTAATTTAATCATTTGCTTTTAAACAAATATTCGTCAAAGCATATACTTTAAAGTATACATATTTTATATACCTTATACACTAGATACATTTTTGAAGTGCACACTTTAGTACTTTTGTCTTTAATGTCCTTTTATGTAAAGAATTATAATTGAGAGAGAATATTCCATAGAGTATGGTATTATTTAGATTTAAAATCTTGTTTAACCTTGAATTAGTTATTTGTGGAAAAAACATGCTCTTGAACATACCACTCATTTTTGAAGAATAGCTATCCTTTCTAACTAAAATTCAAGCTAGATGATTTCAGATTCAGAAATCATAAAAAGATGCTGCTGATGTTTTTTGGTTTTTGAACTCCTGGAATGTGATAAGACAATATACCTGGCCTGAATTAAGTTTTGACCCTGCTTTGAGCAGGACTTTGGACTGGAGACCTCCCGAAGGTCCTTTCCAATTGGAATTACTCTATGACAGGGTGTCTAGCTCTGCATCCACCATGAAACCTTAGGCATTCCTTTTATGTTCAGCTGAGGCTGGGCTGTGCATCTAGGAGTGCAGTTACTACTTCTGCTTCTTTGGCAACTGGACAGACATTGCAGCAGTGAGGCAGAAAGTGTGAAGGGCATTGTTGGGGTGTGTACAGAGGGGAGCAGGTGTCTTGGACTTTGCCACTCGTCAACTGCCTCATTTTGAAATCCGCTGATGTTGCATGCCTTGGCCTAAAAGAGGTGGACTGGATCCAAACAGAACAAGTAGCTAATGTTCTCTCTGTTTCTTACATACTCATTAGAGAGAAATAGGCAGTTAAGTAATCTGTATCTGCCTCTGGAGGTCTTCAGAGGTGTTTTTTCTCTATGTATTAAATACAGTCTAGAGATCCTGGGTACTTCAGGATGACTGTGTTTGTGAAATGAGGTATCTGTCTGCCTGTGTATCTATTAACTATTGTGTGTGCATGTATAGATATATATTGGCATACCTTTGTCACCTTCTAATGTTTGTTTAAATCCTGTGGTAAGTGCTGCTTGTTGGCAGTAACTCTCTACTGACAGTTTTCAAATATTGCAAAAACTCCATGTCTCAGGACATGTCAAGCTACGCGATGCAAATTTCACCACTTGTGTACTGCTTCCTGACAAGTACTGCTACAGTTTTTTCCTTACATTTCACAGTGCTTCAGAGTCTGTAGTTTCTCTTTCACTGTGAGTCTTGTTTCTTTTTAATACTTTTCAGAATTGGTAAGGGAATAGAAGGATAGGTGAGAATGAAGTTAAATAAGATAGTAATCTGGGAAGTGGGAGATACAGTATGGAGAGCAAGAAATCATTCGTCCTTTGGGAAAGATGACTAGAGAACTTAAGCTGTATGGTAATCATGTTTCAAGACAGTTATTTTGATAGGATAACATTCTTGCATATCTCTGCATTTTTAGTATTTATTATCTTAATAATAACTGAGAAAAATATTGTGAATACTGTACAGGGATTGCTATAGCATCTCCATTCTAGTAGTAACCATAAAAACAAATGCTTTGCTAACCTTTATTTTACATGATGTAGACCTACCTATATATACACACAAACACACTCCTTTTGCACAGTTCTTAAGTGTTACTCAAAGTTCACACTAACCCGTCTATACCGCCAAACAAAAGAGGAACAAGTCCCACCAGGGTCAACCTTTATATAGACAATGCAGTGCCAGTTTTTGTGTAGGGAGTAAAAAATCCCTACGGTCTGTAACAACTTAGAGAGGAATTGAATAGTCATCTAAAAATCTGGTGATTTGGCATGGGATAGAGCTCTGTGCAACAGAATAGCAGATCTTGTGTCACTTCACTGTTTTTCCACACAGAGAGCGAGCTCATAACCTTTTAAAAAGTGGCAATGTATGACATAAAACAAGATAGCAGTTTGTCTGGTTGAATGGGAAATTTAAAGACAGTAGTTAGGTTGTAGAGTCTGAAAGCAAATGGACTTCTTTTTGTGCTGCTATGTTTGGCAACTCTAATACTGTACAATTGATTTTAAAATATCAAACTGTGAATCATTTATGAACGTCACAACCTGCCACCAAAACAGTGGATTTGGCAAGTGTGCCTCTGTAAGAGGTGATAAACTACATTCTTCAGTACAGCATTTCCTGACACTTTTCTTGCTGTCTAGGAAAACTCTACTCCCTTTGTGATATAAGTTCTGGTGTATATTGAATCCAGTTTTCCTGATAGTTTCATGTTCTGTGAAATTATTACTACATAATAGATCAATGTCTTCTTTATCCTTGACCAAAATTAAGTGAAGTCAAACAGTTATATTGTTTGAGGTCACAGTACAATTACTACATTTAAATATGATAAACTTATAGTCAGTAGCTAAAATAAATTGTGTGAACTAGAAAATATGTTGAAATCTTCTGAGTTGCTTTCTCTGGTAGCCTAGTAAGCCATAAGAAGTAATGGGATATCTGTTCATCCTTGTAAAACTAAATCTGTCCTGGCACTGATTCAATTGTTTTCCATTTGTGAAGTTTTCTGAAGCATGATTTGAAAATAAGAAGACTTTCAGCAAGAGCTGCTGTGTCTCACTTACAGTTTCAAATGATACATTGCCCTCTAGATCATTTGCAATGTGAAGAATTACTTTCAAGTTCCAACATTTTCTTCTTTCTTGGCTCCATAATCCTTTATATTTTAAGTGTAATATAAATAAGCTAAAATTCAAATAGCTGTGAATCCCATGTTATATTAATTAAATTAAACTGAATGATTCTATTAGAAGTCAAAAATGTGGACAGGCTAAGAGACCTGGTTGTCACTCTGTTGTTAATTTGAGGGTTGGGGATCTCAGTGTGTCTGGTTCACCAGAGTTACGCTCCTTGTTCTCTGTTGCTCTGCAGACCTTCCCCACAGCTATGATCATGTTCCCCTATGGACTGAGAAAGTAGGGAATTTTAATAATTCAGGAAAATTATTATACCCGCTGGTTGGTCTAAGGAGCAAAGCTGTTACACGAACCTTATTAACTTCAGAAATCA